GAGACAGACAGAGACAGACAGAGACAGACAGAGACAGACAGAGACACACAGAGACAGACAGAGACAGAGACAGACAGAGACAGACAGAGACAGACAGAGACAGACAGAGACAGACAGAGACAGACAGAGACAGAGACACACAGAGACAGACAGAGACACACAGAGACAGAGACAGACAGAGACAGACAGAGACAGACAGAGACAGAGACAGACAGAGACAGACAGAGACAGACAGAGACAGAGACAGACAGAGACAGACAGAGACACACAGAGACAGACAGAGACAGACAGAGACAGAGACAGACAGAGACAGACAGAGACAGACAGAGACACACAGAGACAGACAGAGACAGAGACAGACAGAGACAGACAGAGACAGACAGAGACAGACAGAGACAGACAGAGACACACAGAGACAGACAGAGACACACAGAGACAGACAGAGACAGACAGAGACAGACAGAGACAGAGACAGACAGAGACAGACAGAGACAGACAGAGACACACAGAGACAGACAGAGACAGACAGAGACACACAGAGACAGACAGAGACACACAGAGACAGACAGAGACAGACAGAGACAGACAGAGACAGAGACAGACAGAGACAGACAGAGACAGACAGAGACAGACAGAGACAGACAGAGACAGAGACAGACAGAGACAGACAGAGACAGACAGAGACAGACAGAGACACACAGAGACACACAGAGACAGACAGAGACAGACAGAGACAGACAGAGACAGACAGAGACAGAGACAGACAGAGACACACAGAGACACACAGAGACAGACAGAGACAGACAGAGACAGACAGAGACAGACAGAGACAGACAGAGACAGTTCTCAGGTTCCTCTCTGTCTCTTCAGGGCGAGAGACTTTCAGAGGAAGAGGATCTCCAGCGACAGCTCTCTGTCCCCGAAGACCGTCCTCTGCAGGTACACACACCTGTCTGTCCTCTTCATCCTCTCCATAACCTTCATCCTGTCTGTCCTCTTCATCCTCTTCATCCTGTCCTCTTCATCCTCTTCATCCTGTCCTCTTCATCCTGTCCGTCCTCTTCATCCTCTTCATCTTGTCCTTGGTCTTCATGTTCAATGCTGTCTTGTCCGTTACTTCTTTGTTGTCCCTCTTGTCCATCTTGTTCGTCCTATGCCTCCTTGTCCTAGGTCTTCATGTTGAATTCTAGCTTGTTGTCCGTCTTGTCTCCATCTGTCCACCTGGTCCTCATGTTCATCTCACGCATTCTGTCCCTCCTTGTCCATTCTGTCCCTCCATTCTGTCCCTCCTTGTCCCTCCTTGTCCCTCCTTGTCCATTCTGTCCCTCCATTCTGTCCCTCCTTGTCCATTCTGTCCCTCCATTCTGTCCCTCCTTGTCCATTCTGTCCCTCCATTCTGTCCCTCCTTGTCCATTCTGTCCCTCCATTCTGTCCCTCCTTGTCCCTCCTTGTCCCTCCTTGTCCATTCTGTCCCTCCATTCTGTCCCTCCTTGTCCCTCCTTGTCCCTCCTTGTCCATTCTGTCCCTCCATTCTGTCCCTCCTTGTCCATTCTGGTCCCCTCCTGTCCCTCCTTGTCCATTCTGTCCCCTCCTTGTCCCTCCTTGTCCATTCTGTCCCTCCTTGTCCCTCCTTGTCCATTCTGTCCCTCTTTGTCCCCTCCTTGTCCATTCTGTCCCTCCTTGTCCATTCTGTCCCTCCATTCTGTCCCTCCTTGTCCATTCTGTCCCTCCATTCTGTCCCTCCTTGTCCCTCCTTGTTCATTCTGTCCCTCCATTCTGTCCATCTTGTCCATTCTGTCCATCTTGTCCATTCTGTTCATCTTGTCCATTCTGTCCATCTGTCCGTCTGATTTAAAGTGAGAGGGGCAAAGATTATCAATGTCCATCGCTCCAACACAACCCTGGCCGATTTCAGACCTGTCATGAGGTACGACTCTGTGTGTGTGTGTGTGTGTGTGTGTGTGTGTGTGTGTGTGTGTGTGTGTGTGTGTGTGTGTGTGTGTGTGTACGTAACCCTCCTCTTGTCTCTCCTGCAGGTCTTCCTCTGCTACCTCACGTCCCTCTGCATCAGGTAACAGTTTGACTTCATGTTTTATTTGGTTCACTTTTTATATCTAAGTTTCTGTCCACAGTGAACAGTATCAGTGTGTGTGTGTGTGTGTGTGTGTGTGTGTGTGTGTGTGTGTGTGTGTGTGTGTGTGTGTGTGTGTGTCAGTGAACAGTACAAGTGTGTGTGTGTGTGTGTGTGTGTGTGTGTGTGTGTGTGTGTGTGTGTTTCAGTGAACAGTATCAGTGTGTGTGTGTGTGTGTGTGTGTGTGTGTGTGTGTGTGTGTGTGTGTCAGTGAACAGTACAAGTGTGTGTGTGTGTGTGTGTGTGTGTGTGTGTTTCAGTGAACAGTATCAGTGTGTGTGTGTGTGTGTGTGTGTGTGTGTGTGTGTGTGTGTGTGTGTCAGTGAACAGTACAAGTGTGTGTGTGTGTGTGTGTGTGTGTGCGTGTTTCAGTGAACAGTATCAGTGTGTGTGTGTGTGTGTGTGTGTGTTTCAGTGAACAGTATCAGTGTGTGTGTGTGTGTGTGTGTGTGTGTGTTTCAGTGAACAGTATCAGTGTGTGTGTTTCAGTGAACAGTATCAGTGTGTGTGTGTTTCAGTGAACAGTATCAGTGTGTGTGTGTGTGTGTGTGTGTGTGTGTGTGTGTGTGTGTGTGTGTGTGTGTGTGTGTGTGTGTGTGTGTGTGTGTGTGTGTGTGTGTGTGTGTTTCAGTGAACAGCATCAGTGTGCTGATTGGACAGAAGAAAGATTAGTTCAACAGAACCTTTATTTAAACTGTGGTGTGTTTTTAGACTCGGAGCTGATCGACTGCATCGAGACCAGAGACCTGAACCGGGTGAGCCCCCCCACCCATTAGAGTGTTGTTGTTGTTGTTGTTGTTGTTCATACGGCTGTTGTTGTCTGTAATGTTGTTGTGTATTATGGTGTGTTTATTTATAATGTTGTTGTTGTCTTCAGTGTTGTTTTTGTTTCAACAATTTGTATTGTTTTCTGTAATTATGTTGGCTATTATGAAATCTGACTTTTTTCTTGTTTTATAATGTTATTGTCTATAATGTTGTTATTGTTGTTGTTGTTGTAGCTGACGGAGCTGCACCTGCAGGGCGCTGACCTGACGCTGCAGGACTCAGCCGGCTGCTCCCTGCTGCATCGAGCTGTGAGGACTGGAGACACAGAGGTCCTGAAGTACCTGCTCCGGCACGGTACACACACACACACACACACACACACACACACACACACACACACACACTGCCTGTCCCTACAATAAGTAAAGTTGTGTAGTTTCAGAGAGATGTGTAATCCGTTCCTCCGCTCTCCTCTGATTGGTTGAATCTCCCTTGAGCAGCGTCAGCTTCATGAAGTGACTTTTTATCCAGTTTGAAGCCTCATTTTTACCCTTTTTGGATCGATGTGCTTTTTAACTCTGTTGAAGGATGTTAGTGATGAGACGTCTGGCCCTGAAGTCATCAGAGCTACAGGCTGAGCTAACGTTAGCAGCATCAGAGCTACAGGCTGAGCTAACGTTAGCGGCAGCAGAGCTACAGGCTGAGCTAACGTTAGCAGCAGCAGAGCTACAGGCTGAGCTAACGTTAGCGGCAGCAGAGCTACAGGCTAGCGGCAGAGCTACAGGCTGAGCTAACGTTAGCGGCAGCAGAGCTACAGGCTGAGCTAACGTTAGCAGGCAGCAGAGCTACAGGCTGAGCTAACGTTAGCAGCAGCAGAGCTACAGGCTGAGCTAACGTTAGCGGCAGCAGAGCTACAGGCTGAGCTAACGTTAGCGGCAGCAGAGCTACAGGCTGAGCTAACGTTAGCGGCAGCAGAGCTACAGGCTGAGCTAACGTTAGCGGCAGCAGAGCTACAGGCTGAGCTAACGTTAGCAGCAGCAGAGCTACAGGCTGAGCTAACGTTAGCAGCAGCAGAGCTACAGGCTGAGCTAACGTTAGCGGCAGCAGAGCTACAGGCTGAGCTAACGTTAGCGGCAGCAGAGCTACAGGCTGAGCTAACGTTAGCAGCAGCAGAGCTACAGGCTGAGCCAACGTTAGCAGCAGCAGAGCTACAGGCTGAGCTAACGTTAGCAGCAGCAGAGCTACAGGCTGAGCTAACGTTAGCAGCAGCAGAGCTACAGGCTGAGCTAACGTTAGCAGCAGCAGAGCTACAGGCTGAGCTAACATTAGCGGCAGCAGAGCTACAGGCTGAGCTAACGTTAGCGGCAGCAGAGCTACAGGCTGAGCTAACGTTAGCAGCAGCAGAGCTACAGGCTGAGCTAACGTTAGCAGCAGCAGAGCTACAGGCTGAGCTAACATTAGCAGCAGCAGAGCTACAGGCTGAGCTAACGTTAGCAGCAGCAGAGCTACAGGCTGAGCTAACATTAGCGGCAGCAGAGCTACAGGCTGAGCTAACGTTAGCGGCAGCAGAGCTACAGGCTGAGCTAACGTTAGCGGCAGCAGAGCTACAGGCTGAGCTAACGTTAGCGGCAGCAGAGCTACAGGCTGAGCTAACGTTAGCGGCAGCAGAGCTACATCTAAATGTACAACGGAACAAGAAGGAGGAAGAAGGCCACAGCATTTAGTAAAATAACCTCCATAGTTTGTTAGAAACAATAATAGTAATGTATTTTAGTGGAGAGTTTCCGTCCTAATATCCTTCATTTGTTTCAATGCAGTTTGCAACTCTCTCTGTTTGAAGAAGCACTGGTAGAGACGACCTAACACAAGTTAAAGGAGCTCTTCTGATTGGTCTCAAATGATTCTGATGGTTAAAGTTCTGTAGTGACCAAACCCCGGCGTGCAGTCAATGCTGTTTGACACCATGTGATTTATTACATCACCACCAGGGGGCGCCACAGCAGCTCTCAGTGAAACAGACCTGAGTTCAGTCTCACTCCTGTCTGGTGTGGGAACAGCTCAGCAGAAAGGGAGCGTCTGGGGACCAGTGAGACTCAGTGGGACTCAGTGGGACTCAGTGAGACTCAGTGGGACTCAGTGAGACTCAGTGAGACTCAGTGGGACTCAGTGAGACTCAGTGGGACTCAGTGAGACTCAGTGAGACTCAGTGGGACTCAGTGGGACTCAGTGAGACTCAGTGAGACTCAGTGAGACTCAGTGAGACTCAGTGGGACTCAGTGAGACTCAGTGGGACTCAGTGAGACTCAGTGGGACTCAGTGAGACTCAGTGAGACTCAGTGGGACTCAGTGAGACTCAGTGAGACTCAGTGTGTGTGTGTGTGTGTGTGTGTGTGTGTGTGTGTGTATGTGTGTGTGTGTGTGTGTGTGTGCTGTGTTCAGGGACATGCTGTGTTCAGGGACGTGGTGTGTTCGGGGACGTGGTGTGTTCGGGGACGTGCTGTGTTCAGGGACGTGCTGTGTTCAGGGACGTGCTGTGTTCAGGGACGTGGTGTGTTCAGGGACGTGCTGTGTTCAGGGACGTGCTGTGTTCAGGGACGTGGTGTGTTCAGGGACGTGGTGTGTTCAGGGACGTGCTGTGTTCAGGGACGTGGTGTGTTCAGGGACGTGCTGTGTTCAGGGACGTAGTGTGTTCAGGGACGTGCTGTGTTCAGGGACGTGCTGTGTTCAGGGACGTGCTGTGTTCAGGGACGTGGTGTGTTCAGGGACGTGCTGTGTTCAGGGACGTGCTGTGTTCAGGGACGTGGTGTGTTCAGGGACGTGGTGTGTTCAGGGACGTGGTGTGTTCAGGGCTCCTTTCTGATAAACTTCAGTGTCTTTCTGATTATTGTGTCTCTGTCTCCTTCAGTTCCCACATCTCACCTGGACATCACAGAGAAGGAGACGTGAGTCCTCTCATTTCTCCTCTGACACGTGTACACTCTGTTATCATTTTGTGTTCTCCACGTGTGTTTAACGTGTTCTGTTGTGTGTTTAACGTGTTCTCCACATGTGTTTAACGTGTTCTGTTGTGTGTTTAACGTGTTCTCCACGTGTGTTTAACGTGTTCTCCACATGTGTTTAACGTGTTCTGTTGTGTGTTTAACGTGTTCTCCACATGTGTTTTAACGTGTTCTCCACGTGTGTTTAACGTGTTCTGTTGTGTGTTTAACGTGTTCTGTTGTGTGTTTAACGTGTTCTGTTGTGTGTTTTAACGTGTTCTGTTGTGTGTTTAACGTGTTCTCCACGTGTGTTTAACGTGTTCTCCACATGTGTTTAACGTGTTCTGTTGTGTGTTTAACGTGTTCTCCACATGTGTTTTAACGTGTTCTCCACGTGTGTTTAACGTGTTCTGTTGTGTGTTTAACGTGTTCTCCACATGTGTTTAACGTGTTCTCCACATGTGTTTTAACGTGTTCTCCACATGTGTTTAACGTGTTCTGTTGTGTGTTTAACGTGTTCTGTTGTGTGTTTAACGTGTTCTCCACGTGTGTTTAACGTGTTCTGTTGTGTGTTTGACGTGTTCTCCACGTGTGTTTAACGTGTTCTGTTGTGTGTTTTAACGTGTTCTCCACTATGGCAAGCCATTTGAGTATTTATTCCATATCCTTGATATCAGACGGCAGCTGCCTGCACTAGTTGGCTCTTTGATTTCACTTGTTAGATATATGGTCAAACTAGTTTGGCACTCTGCTTTACTAGTTAAATAAAACATTACACTCGTCACTCTTTTTCAGCAACTAGTGGCACTTTTGGGCTGGGTGGCGCTCTATAGCTTAGGGCCAATAGGAGACCTCGATGCATTCTTTCCCCTCCTCCTCATTAGCATTCTGTGCAACTAGAGTGACTAGTGCACATTTGGGATCCACTAGTACTACTAGTGAACATTTTAAGCCTCACTAGTTCACTAGTTGAATTTAAATGTATCTCACTAGTTAACTAGTAAGGTCAAAAGAGGCGTCAACTAGTTAACTAGTGAACCTTTTGCCTTTACTAGTTAACTAGTGAGTGATTCTGGGTGCTACTAGTTAACTAGTGCAGACAAATGTATGCCACTAGTTAACTAGTTGTGCTTCTTTTTTGTAACTAGTTAACATGTCAGAGCTTTTGCAGCGCACTAGTTGACTTGTAAGACTTTTAGCGTCACTAGTACGGTCAGAGGGCCACTAGTTCATCACAAAGCTTACACGTTGGGACTTTGGCTCGGTGTGTTTAACGTGTTCTCCGTGTGTGTTTAACGTGTTCTCTTTGTGTGTTTAACGTGTTCTCCGTGTGTGTTTAACGTGTTCTCTTTGTGTGTTTAACGTGTTCTCTGTGTGTGTGTAACGTGTTCTCTGTGTGTGTTTAACGTGTTCTCTTTGTGTGTTTAACGTGTTCTCCGTGTGTGTTTAACGTGTGCTCTTTGGTGTGTTACAACGGTTTTCTCCGTGTGTGTTTAACGTGTTCTCTTTGTGTGTTTAACGTGTTCTCTGTGTGTGTTTAACGTGTTCTCTTTGTGTGTTTAACGTGTTCTCTGTGTGTGTTTAACGTGTTCTCTGTGTTGTGTTTAACGTGTTCTCTTTTGTGTGTTTAACGTTTGTTCCTCTTTGTGTGTTTAACGTGTTCTCTGTGTGTGTTTAACGTGTTCTCTGTGTGTGTTTTAACGTGTTCTCTGTGTGTGTTGTAACGTGTTCTTCTTTGTGTGTTTAACGTGTTCTCCGTTGTGTGTTTAACGTGTTCTCTTTGTGTGTTTAACGTGTTCTCTGTGTGTGTTTAACGTGTTCTCTTTGTGTGTTTTTTATACGTGTCTCTTGTGGTGTTACCGTGTTCATTCTGTGTGGTTACTAACGTGTTCTCTTGTGTGTTTACCGTGTTCTCTGTGTGTGTTTCACGTGTTCTCCTGTATGGGTTAACGTGTTCCTCTGTGATGGGGTTAACGTGTTCCTCTGTGTGTGGTTTAACGTGTTCTCTGTGTGGTGTTAACGTGTTCTCCGTGTGTGGTTTAACGTGTTCTCTTTGTGTGTTAACGTTGTCTCACGTGTGTGGTTTAACGTGTTCTCTTTGTGTGTTAACTGTGTTCTCTGTGGTGTTTAACGTGTTCTCTGTGTGTGTTTAACGTGTTCTCCGTGTGTGTTAACGTGTTCTCTTTGTGTGTTTAACGTGTTCTCTGTGTGTGTTTAACGTGTTCTCGTGTGTTGTTTAAACGTGTTCTCTTTGTGTGTTAACGTGGTTCTCTGTGGTGTTGAACGTGTTCCTCTGTGTGTGTTTAACGTGTTCTCTGTGGGGTTTAACGTGTTCTTCCTTTGTGTGTTTAACGTGTTCTCTGTGTGTGTTTAACGTGTTCTCTTTGTGTGTTTAACGTGTTCTCTTTGTGTGTTTAACGTGTTCTCTTTGTGTGTTTAACGTGTTCTCTGTGTGTTTAACGTGTTCTCCGTGTGTGTTTAACGTGTTCTCTTTGTGTGTTTAACGTGTTCTCTGTGTGTGTTTAACGTGTTCTCTTTGTGTGTTTAACGTGTTCTCTGTGTGTGTTTAACGTGTTCTCTTTGTGTGTTTAACGTGTTCTCTGTGTGTTTAACGTGTTCTCTGTGTGTGTGTAACGTGTTCTCTTTGTGTGTTTAACGTGTTCTCTGTGTGTTTAACGTGTTCTCTGTGTGTGTTTAACGTGTTCTCTTTGTGTGTTTAACGTGTTCTCTGTGTGTGTTTAACGTGTTCTCTGGTGTGTTTAACGTGTTCTCTGTGTGAACGTGTTTCTGTGTGTTTAACGTGTTCTTTGTGTGTTTAACGTGTTCTCTGTGTGTGTTTAACGTGTTCTCCGTGTGTGTTTAACGTGTTCTCTTTGTGTGTTTAACGTGTTCTCTGTGTGTGTTTAACGTGTTCTCTTTGTGTGTTTAACGTCTTCTCTGTGTGTGTTTAACGTGTTCTCTGTGTGTGTTTAACGTGTTCTCTTTGTGTGTTTAACGTGTTCTCTGTGTGTGTTTAACGTGTTCTCTGTGTGTGTTTAACGTGTTCTCTTTGTGTGTTTAACGTGTTCTTTGTGTGTGTTTAACGTGTTCTCTGTGTGTGTTAACGTGTTCTCTGTGTGTGTTTAACGTGTTCTCTGTGTGTGTGTAACGTGTTCTCTTTGTGTGTTTAACGTGTTCTCCGTGTGTGTTTAACGTGTTCTCTTTGTGTGTTTAACGTGTTCTCTGTGTGTGTTTAACGTGTTCTCTGTGTGTGTTTAACGTGTTCTCCGTGTGTGTTTAACGTGTTCTCTGTGTGTTAACGTTTCTCTTTGTGTTTAACGTGTTCTCTGTGTGTGTTTAACGTGTTCTCTGTGTGTGTTTAACGTGTTCTCTGTGTGTGTTTAACGTGTTCTCTGTGTGTGTTTAACGTGTTCTCCGTGTGTGTTTAACGTGTTCTCTTTGTGTGTTTAACGTGTTCTCCGTGTGTGTTTAACGTGTTCTCTTTGTGTGTTTAACGTGTTCTCTGTGTGTGTTTAACGTGTTCTCTGTGTGTGTTTAACGTGTTCTCCGTGTGTGTTTAACGTGTTCTCTTTGTGTGTTTAACGTGTTCTCTGTGTGTGTTTAACGTGTTCTCTGTGTGTGTTTAACGTGTTCTCTTTGTGTGTTTAACGTGTTCTCTGTGTGTGTTTAACGTGTTCTCTGTGTGTTTAACGTGTTCTCTGTGTGTGTTTAACGTGTTCTCTTTGTGTGTTTAACGTGTTCTCTGTGTGTGTTTAACGTGTTCTCTTTGTGTTTAACGTGTTCTCTTTGTGTGTTTAACGTGTTCTCTTTGTGTGTTTAAACGTGTTCTCTGTGTGTGTTTAACGTGTTCTCCGTGTGTGTTTAACGTGTTCTCTTTGTGTGTTTAACGTGTTCTCTTTGTGTGTTTAACGTGTTCTCTTTGTGTGTTTAACGTGTTCTCTGTGTGTGTTTAACGTGTTCTCTTTGTGTGTTTAACGTGTTCTCTGTGTGTGTTTAACGTGTTCTCTGTGTGTGTTTAACGTGTTCTCTTTGTGTGTTTAACGTGTTCTCTGTGTGTGTTTAACGTTCTCTGTGTGTGTTTAACGTGTTCTCTTTGTGTTTAACGTGTTCTCTGTGTGTGTTTAACGTGTTCTCTGTGTGTGTTTAACGTGTTCTGTGTGTGTTTAACGTGTTCTCTGTGTGTTTAACGTGTTCTCTTTGTGTGTTTAACGTGTTCTCTGTGTGTGTTTAACGTGTTCTCCGTGTGTGTTTAACGTGTTCTCTTTGTGTGTTTAACGTGTTCTCCGTGTGTGTTTAACGTGTTTCGTTGTTTCTGTGTGTGTTTAACGTTTTCTCTGTGTGTGTTTAACGTGTTCTCTGTGTGTGTTAACGTGTCTCTTTGTGTGTTTTAACGTGTTCTCTGTGTGTGTTTAACGTGTTCTCTGTGTGTGTTTAACGTGTTCTCTGTGTGTGTTTAACGTGTTCTCTTGTTGTGTTTAACGTGTTCTCTGTGTGTGTTTAACGTGTTCTCTGTGTGTGTTTAACGTGTTCTCTGTGTGTGTTTAACGTGTTCTCTGTGTGTGTTTAACGTGTTCTCCTGTGTGTGTTTAACGTGTTCTCTTTGTGTGTTTAACGTGTTCTCTGTGTGTGTTTAACGTGTTCTCTTTGTGTGTTTAACGTGTTCTCTGTGTGTGTTTAACGTGTTCTCTGTGTGTGTTTAACGTGTTCTCTGTGTGTGTTTAACGTGTTCTCTTTGTGTGTTTAACGTGTTCTCTTTGTGTGTTTAACGTGTTCTCTTTGTGTGTTTAACGTGTTCTCTGTGTGTGTTTAACGTGTTCTCTGTGTGTGTTTAACGTGTTCTCTGTGTGTGTTTAACGTGTTCTCTGTGTGTGTTTAACGTGTTCTCTTTGTGTGTTTAACGTGTTCTCTGTGTGTGTTTAACGTGTTCTCTTTGTGTGTTTAACGTGTTCTCTTTGTTTGTTAACGTGTTCTCTTTGTGTGTTTAACGTGTTTCTCTGTGTGTGTTTAACGTGTTCTCTGTGTGTGTTTAACGTGTTCTCTTTGTGTTTAACGTGTTCTCTGTGTGTGTTTCGTGTTCTCTTTGTGTGTTTAACGTCTTCTCTGTGTGTGTTAACGTGTTCTCTGGTGTGTGTTTAACGTGTTCTCTTTGTGTGTTTAACGTGTTCTCTTTGTGTGTTTAACGTGTTCTCTTTGTGTGTTTAACGTGTTCTCTTTGTGTGTTTAACGTGTTCTCTGTGTGTGTTTAACGTGTTCTCTTTGTGTGTTTAACGTGTTCTCTTTGTGTGTTTAACGTGTTCTCTGTGTGTGTTTAACGTGTTCTCTGTGTGTGTTTAACGTGTTCTCTGTGTGTGTTTAACGTGTTCTCTTTGTGTGTTTAACGTGTTCTCTGTGTGTGTTTAACGTGTTCTCTTTGTGTGTTTAACGTGTTCTCCGTGTGTGTTTAACGTGTTCTCGGTGTGTGTTTAACGTGTTCTCCGTGTGTGTTTAACGTGTTCTCCGTGTGTGTTTAACGTGTTCTCCGTGTGTGTTGAACGTGTTCTCCACGTGTTTTCAGAGGAGAAACGGCGCTGCATAAAGCTGTCTCCTCCTCTCAGAGGACCATCTGCCACCAGCTGGTGGAGGCCGGAGCCTCGCTCACCAAGACTGACCTGCAGGTAACACACACACACACACACACACACACACACACACACACACACACACACATATATAACACCACACACACACACACACACACACACACTCTTACCTGTTACACTCCCCCCGTAAAGGTGCGTCGCACCGGACTCGTCATGATTACAAGCAAAGTGGATGCACAGTATATAAGCATCTGACCTACTTCTCTCTGTGATTAATGGTGTGTTTGTGTGTGCTGTGTGTGTGTGTGGTGTTATATATATGTGTGTGTGTGGTGTGTGTGTGTGTGTGTGTGTGTGTGTGTGTGTGTGTGTGTGGTGTGTGTGTGTGTGTGTGTGTGTGTGTGTGTGTGTGTGTGTGTGTGTGTGTGTGTGTGTGTGTGTGTGTGTGTGTGTCACTGCGCTGCAGGATCCCGGCCTCACTGCCACACACACAAAGGCCGCTGCTCTCCGTTGCCATGGTGAAGCCCCTGGTAACAGGAAGCAGCCCATAATCTCAGTTTTCTTCTTCTTCTTCTTCAGCCAATGAAAGCGTCCGAGTGTTCAGAGTGTGAGACCCTCTGCAGAACCCTCTTTGTTCTCTGATGTTCTCACACTCTGAGCATCTCTAATATCTATCTGATACATCTGTTCTCTAACGTTCTCTAATGTTCTCTAACGTTCTCTAATGTTCTCTAATGTACTCTAACGTTCTCTAAGGTTCTCTAATGTACTCTAATGTTCTCTAACGTTCTCTAATGTTCTCTAATGTACTCTAATGTTCTCTAACGTTCTCTAATGTACTCTAATGTTCTCTAACGTTCTCTAAGGTTCTCTAATGTTCTCACACTGATCATCTCTAATATCTATCTGATATATCTGTACTCTAACGTTCTCTAATGTTCTTTAACGTTCTCTAATGTTCTTTAACGTTCTCTAATGTTCTTTAACGTTCTCTAATGTTCTCTAATGTTCTTTAACGTTCTCTAATGTTCTCTAACGTTCTATAATGTTCTCTAACGTTCTCTAATGTTCTCACACTGATCATCTCTAATATCTATCTGATATATCTGTACTCTAACGTTCTCTAACATTCTTTAATGTTCTCTAATGTTCTCTGATATCTGTTCTCCGATGTTCTCACACTGATCATCTCTAACACTCTGATCATCTCTAATATCTATCTGATAGGTCTGTACTCTAACATTCTCCAATGTCTGTTCTCTAATGCTCTCTAACATCTGTTCTCTATCGTCTGTTCTCTAAGGTCTGTTCTCTAATGTTCTCTAACGTCTGTTCTCTATCGTCTGTTCTCTAAGGTCTGTTCTCTAATGTCTGTTCTCTAATGTTCTCTAACGTCTGTTCTCTATCGTCTGTTCTCTACTTCTGTTCTCTAACGTCTGTTCTCTAACGTCTGTTCTCTACGTCTGTTCTCTATCGTCTGTTCTCTGATGTCTGTTCTCTGATGTCTGTTCTCTGATGTCTGTTCTCTAATGTTCTCTAACGTCTGTTCTCTGATGTCTGTTCTCTAATGTTCTCTAACGTCTGTTCTCTAACGTCTGTTCTCTACGTCTGTTCTCTATCGTCTGTTCTCTAACTTCTGTTCTCAACTTCTGTTCTCTAACGTCTGTTCTCTAATATCTGTGCTCCAATGTCTATTCTCTGTTCTCTAACGTCTGTTCTCTAACGTCTGTTCTCTAATGTTCTCTAAGGTCTGTTCTCTAATGTCTGTTCTCTAATGTTCTCTAATGTCTGTTCTCTAATGTCTGTTCTCTAATGTTCTCTAACGTCTGTTCTCTATTGTTCTCTAACGTCTGTTCTCTAATGTTCTCTAACGTCTGTTCTCTAACGTCTAATGTCTGAGAATATTAGAGAACTGATCACAGAGTCCTGCTGTCGGCCTGACTTCAGAAGAGAACTGCGTGATGTTCTCTGTTCTCTGTTCTACGTTCTGATACAACAACAAGGCGCTATGTGGCCACAGGCTGTAATAAAGTAAAGAGTACATTAATAATAATCAATGGTATTTATTTAGTGCTTTAGCTCACATATTACACATATCAGACACACATGAATACTGTGGACCATCCCCTCAGAGGGATGCATGCATGGATGTTCAGTAAGAACTGGATACAGCGTGGGAGGCGGGGTTAGTAAGAACTGGATACAGCGTGGGAGGCGGGGTTAGTAAGAACTGGATACAGCGTGGGAGGCGGGGTTAGTAAGAACTGGATACAGCGTGGGAGGCGGGGTTAGTAAGAACTGGATACAGCGTGGGAGGCGGGGTTAATAAGAACTGGATACAGCGTGGGAGGCGGGGTTAGTAAGAACTGGATACAGCGTGGGAGGCGGGGTTAGTAAGAACTGGATACAGCGTGGGAGGCGGGGTTAGTAAGAACCGGATACAGCGTGGGAGGCGGGGTTAGTAAGAACTGGATACAGCGTGGGAGGCGGGGTTAGTAAGAACTGGATACAGCGTGGGAGGCGGGGTTAGTAAGAACTGGATACAGCGTGGGAGGCGGGGTTAGTAAGAACTGGATACAGCGTGGGAGGCGGGGTTAGTAAGAACTGGATACAGCGTGGGAGGCGGGGGTTAGTAAGAACTGGATACAGCGTGGGAGGCGGGGTTAGTAAGAACTGGATACAGCGTGGGAGGCGGGGTTAATAAGAACTGGATACAGCGTGGGAGGCGGGGTCTCGTTCTTTCCTATGAGAACTGCTCATTGGCGCATGAAGGCAAAATGACCCAACTTTTGAGAGAGCAAAACGTCACAGATTACCCGTCATGTCTGGCTGTCAGAGCAGAAGTACCCGTATGTGCAGTCATAGAGCATGTGCCCCTTAAGCCCCGCCTCCTGTCATTAAGCCCCGCCCCCGAGATCCCACTCTCGGCTCAGTAGAATGAATGGAGAGAGAAAATAAATCTAGATTAGACTTTTAGTGCATTTTACAACTTTAAGGACCGAATGATTTTAATAAGGGCTATACCATAGTGTAAATGTTCAGGAGAGTTTCTGTAAATGTTCAGGAGAGTTTCTGTAAATGTTCTGGAGAGTTTCTGTAAATGTTCTGGAGAGTTTCTGTAAATGTTCAGGAGAGTTTCTGTAAATGTTCTGGAGAGTTTCTGTAAATGTTCAGGAGAGTTTCTGTAAATGTTCTGGAGAGTTTCTGTAAATGTTCTGGAGAGTTTCTGTAAATGTTCTGGAGAGTTTCTGTCAATGTTCTGGAGTTTTAAATAAACTGACCCAGGATCTGTTTCAGGGCGAGACCCCCAGACAGCGGGCCGAGAACAACAAGAACCCGGAGCTGGCGGAGTATCTGGAGAAGAGACAGATCCAGAGGGAGGACCAGGAGACAGCTGTCTGACCTCCACCTGTCCTCCACCTGTCTGACCTCCACCTGTCCTCCACCTGTCCTCCACCTGTCTGTCCTCCACCTGTCCTCCACCTGTCTGTCCTCCACCTGTCTGACCTCCACCTGTCTGACCTCCACCTGTCTGTCCTCCACCTGTCTGTCCTCCACCTGTCTGTCCTCCACCTGTCTGACCTCCACCTGTCTGACCTCCACCTGCCTGTCCTCCACCTGTCTGTCCTCCACCTGTCTGACCTCCACCTGTCTGTCCTCCACCTGCTGTAACTCCTCTCCTCTCCGTTACTTTGGTGATTTACCTTCTCCCCAGGTGATGAACTCCTTTCACCTGTAGAGGGTCTCAGATACTGGTCTCCATGGAGACACAAACATGTGTTCCTAAATTATAATGTTCTCTATTTGTGGTTCTGTATCATCTCGTGGAAGAACATCATCTAGGGTTCATCTCCTATGGGGAACATCACAGGTGACCCTCAGAACACATGACAGTGCTGATCAGCTGTTTGTATGTTGACATGCTGCTGTGGAGGATGTCCTGAGGCCTCCATGTGATCACATGATGACAGTAGTAAAGGACAGGAGGGTTACCTTCACAGAGCGGTGCAGGGAGGACGTATTTACCCAGAAGTAAGCTGCTGGTTCCCTCGACTAAAAGCAACAGGATTTCTCCAGAGGATTTTGGAATATTGTAAAAAATAAGATCTGTGGAAAACTAACCTGTTTGATAAATGTTTTGTTCAGCCGGATCATCTCCACATGTCGACCCTACTTTTATAATGTTCTAATCATAAATCTAATGTCCAGAAGCTAAATGCTAACGTTATGGTATAAAGGAACTACAGGCGAGTCCAGCAGCACGACTTCAACGTCACGCCAACTTAAGATCCATATTCAAACACACAGATTCTAAATGGAACGAGTTGAAGCGTTTGTTTGAACAGTTAGCAGGAGGCAGGGACTTGCTTTCAAGCAGAACAGGGCCAACTAACTTAGAGGAGTGTTCACGTGTTCGGCGTAATGACGTACAACGTCCTCCACGACTTCTGTAGTCCTATTCAGCCACTTGGTAACAACCATCGTTTCTCAGACACGTCAACTCTTCAGAAATCACCAGTGGGGTCACTGCTGATGGATTTAATGTCCTAGAACAAAACGTGATCCGTCTCTTCAATGTGTCTCAACCACAGACCTTATTTACAGATATCTTCCTAAATCCTATGGAGAACTCCTATTGGCTCTGAGACCAGGGAACAGGAAGTAGTGAAATGCTGACTCACTTCCTGGTTTTAGGACTCGTCACTGCACCACTCTATTATCATCCATTTATCCTCAAACTGTTTCAAAGGTCCGTCTGTATCTCAGCTGCCTGTCCCTCTCCCACCGGAGAACATGTCCTCTGTAGAGTCCTGCTGTCAGAATGTCCTCCAGAGAAACACAACAACCATGTGTCCTTGGGCAAGATACTGTACCCTGAGGTGCTCCTGATGGCCAAGTGTGTGTGTGTGTGTGTGTGTGTGTGTTAGCGGTGCTGCTCTGCATGAATGAGGTGTGAATGGCTGAATGATGAAACCTGACCTGTTACCATATGGATGCATCACGGGGGTTAAAATGATCGCTAACACTTTATATTAAGGTACACAAATAAACCATCAACTAGTTGTTAATTAACATGCATATTGGCAGTATATTGGCTCTTTATTAGTCATTATAAAACACTTATTAATGCCTTATTCTACATGACCATATTCTCCCAGTAATAAGCCATTAGTTGAGAGTTTTTCCTCAATAACCCTCTAATTAGTGCTGATTTGTTGTAAGTGAGGAAGTTGTTGTCCATGTGTTTGGGTCTTAACATGCTCAACATGGGCCTAATGAGGCATTCTCTCATAACACCTAACACATTGACCTATTCCTATGTGACAAGGCTACAAGTGTTCATTGTGTCAAAATAACTCAAAATGTGGTATTTCTAACTCAGAATAAGTTCCCTATTTTAAAGTGAAATCTTGTTCATAACCAATAAGCTGGTAGTCTCTAATATGCATGTTAATGAACTACTAGTTGATTATCAATATGTGTACCTTCATCTAAAGAGTTACCAAATGATCTGATGATCTGATGATCTGATGTTCTGATGTTCTGATGATCTGATGTTCTGATGATCTGATGATCTGATGTTCTGATGTTCTGATGATCTGATGTTCTGATGATCTGATGATCTGATGTTCTGATGATCTGATGATCTGATGTTCTGATGATCTGATGATCTGATGTTCTGATGATCTGATGATCTGATGTTCTGATGATCTGATGTTCTGATGATCTGATGATCTGATGTTCTGATGATCTGATGATCTGATGATCTGATGATCTGATGATCTGATGTTCTGATGATCTGATGTTCTGATGTTCTGATGATCTGATGTTCTGATGTTCTGATGTTCTGATGATCTGATGATCTGATGTTCTGATGATCTGATGTTCTGATGTTCTGATGATCTGATGTTCTGATGTTCTGATGTTCTGATGATCTGATGATCTGATGTTCTGATGATCTGATGATCTGATGATCTGATGATCTGATGATCTGATGTTCTGATGATCTGATGTTCTGTCCTGCAGACACGCTTCTTTAGACCTTGGATGTATCACAGAGAGAACGCTGTGGATATTTATATAACGTAGACACATGACTTTAGATATTTATAATATGTGTGTGTAGACATTTTGCTTTGTGATCAAACTCAGTGACGCTTCAATTGAAATATTTCATTCAACATAAGTGAGATTATTCTGTCTGTTACATAAGAGTATAAGAAGATGCTGTGTGTGTGTGTGTGTGTGTGTGTGTGTGGTAGACTGTAATGTGTGTATTAATGATAATAATATTGAGATGTTCTGTATGATGTTTAATAACTGTCTTATCATTTCTGAGAGACCTGCAATAAAAGCATGTCAGTAACACTTCCTGTGAGGAAAATGAAGTTATTCACAAACATACAGAATGTAGAGTGACCAGGGGACACTAAAGAGTGACGCACACAGCTGGGAGACCAGGGGACACTAAAGAGTGACGCACACAGCTGGGAGACCAGGGGACACTAAAGAGTGACGCACACAGCTAGGAGACCAGGGGACACTAAAGAGTGACGCACACAGCTGGGAGACCAGGGGACACTAAAGAGTGACGCACACAGCTGGGAGACCAGGGGACACTAAAGAGTGACGCACACAGCTGGGAGACCAGGGGACACTAAAGAGTGACGCACACAGCTGGGAGACCAGGGGACACTAAAGAGTGACGCACACAGCTGGGAGACCAGGGGACACTAAAGAGTGACGCACACAGCTGGGAGACCAGGGGACACTAAAGAGTGACGCACACAGCTGGGAGACCAGGGGACACTAAAGAGTGACGCACACAGCTGGGAGACCAGGGGACACTAAAGAGTGACGCACACAGCTGGGAGACCAGGGGACACTAAAGAGTGACGCACACAGCTGGAGACCAGGGGACACTAAAGAGTGACGCACACAGCTGGGAGACCAGGGGACACTAAAGAGTGACGCACACAGCTGAACAACTGTCTGGCCGTTTCTCAATCGCGAGTACGCTTGCTTGGTAGCACAGCCGAGCCGAGCATCTTGCTTCAGAAGCGAGGCAACAATCCTTCCTGGCATTCGGAAAACAAAGAGTGGAACAGGCTAGCAAGTGTGCAGGTGTGCGTCATATGAGAGGCCCCGCCTCTTACATCTTTTTTTTTTTTTTTTTTTTTTTTTTTTTTTTTATTGAACTTTTTTTTAAACATACAAAAGCTCGGTGAGGATATCATCAACTTATCAACATAAGTTCAAGACATTCATTCACAATAAGACAAAAAAACATAACTAATACATCCAGTAAGAGCCAGGGGGAAAGAAAAAAGCATAAAGGCACAAAAACATTTAAGAGGCATTAAGCTTACTTAAAATAATAACCATTTGGAAATGTCATTGCAAATCTTTATAGACAGGTTACAAGATTGTATTTTTCTAAGGGACAGAAAAAAGGACTTGAACTCATTTATGAAACAGGGAAAGGAGGGCTTGCCTCCTCTCCATTTACTACAATGTAAATGGTATTTACCCAAAATAATAATTATATTTACCAAATCAGAAATGGGAGAGTCCAAATTATCAATATAATATAAAATGTGATATATTTTGAAGGCCGGAATATTTGTTAATTTAAGTAACAACCAATCTCTCACATTCGACCAAAACAATTCAGAAAAAGGGCAAGAGAAAAATAAATGTTCCAACGATTCATCAGATAAATTACAAAAGGAACATGGTTCCACTTCAAATTTAAATCTTGAATTTAAAAAAGTAGAAACCGGGTAGATTTTATGAACAATTTTAAAATGAGTTTCTTTTGCTTTAGGGGAAATAGGCCATTTTATAAAATCAGATAGAGCTTTTTCCATTACAGATAAAGTGTCTAAATCGGTCACTTGAGGAAATAAGCCTCTGTTCAAATTGTGAAAAATGTGGGATTTCAGGGAAGCATTAATAGATTTGTTATTCTTAAGAGTATCGCCAATAATTTCCAAATTAGGTAAAACTGATACAACATTTGAGTACAGTAAAGTATTATGAATCATTCCAATAAGTGGTACAGGAATTGCTTTACAGATTTTGTTATAATCTTTAGCAGTACACGTTATATTGTATTTCGTTGAAAAGGCCAAAGATCTAGCAGTTTACCATTGCAATCTAGTAAATCTCTAACAAACAAAATACCCCTCTCATGCCAATCACTCCTAAACAAGGATTTTCTGTTTATGATAATCACTCTATTGTTCCATAACGTAGATCCATGAGGAGAAAAATTGTGGGTAAATATCATCTTCCAATAATGAAGTATCTGCTTATGAAAATTTGACAATTTGGTCGGAATCTTATTAACCTCAAAATCACATTTTAAAAGAAAATCAAACCCTCCTAGACGTTTAAATATGGCCTTTGGAATATGGAACCACATGGATTCTGGCTGGGACAAAAAGGCTTTCAACCATTTTATTTTAATTGTTCCAATCATCGATTCAAAGTCTAAAGCTTTAATTCCGCCTTTATCATATTCTTTAACAAGCTGTGAC